TGGCCTTATGTAATGACAAAGAAGTAATGGGACTATGAGAATAAAGTTACAATAATATCAGGATAAGATTAATTGTATTTTCTAGGCTGTACCTTTTTTGTACGTCATGCCCATTTTTTTTTCTTTTTCTTGTTATACCCATTTTTAAATATTTTTTCTTGTCATACCAATTCTTCTTTTCCCTGTCATGCCCATTTTTTTCTTTTTTCTTGTCATGCCAATTCTTCTTCTTTTTCTTTTCATGCCCATTCTTTTTCTTTTTATACTCATTCTTCTTTTATTTCTTGTCATACCAATTCTTCTTATTTTTCTTGTCATGCCCATTTTTTTTCTCTTTCTTGTCATACTCATTCTTTTTTTTTCTTGTCATGTCCATTTTTCTTCTTTTTCTTGTCATACCTATTTTTTTTCTCTTTCTTGTCATATTCTTTTTTTTTCTCTTGTCATGCCCATTTTTCTTCTTTTTCTTGGCATACCCATCCTTCTTTTCTTTCTTGTCATACTCATTCTTCTTTTCTTTCTTGTCATACCATTTTTTCTTCTTTTTCTTGTCATACTCATTATTCTTCCTTTCCTTGTCATGTCCATTTTTCTTTTTCTTGTCTTACCAATTCTTCTTATTTTTCTTGTCATACCCATTTTTTTCTTTTTCTTGTCATACCCATTCTTCTTTTTTCTTGTCATTCCCATTCTTTTTCTTTTCTTGTCATATCAATTCTTCTTCTTTTTCTTATCATACCTATTCTTCTTCTCTTTCTTGTCATACCATTCTTCTTCTCTTTTGACATGCTCATTCTTCTTCTTTTTCTTGCCATACCCATTCTTCTTCTTTTTCTTGTCACTTCTCTTTCTTTTACCATCTTCTTCTCTTTCTTGACTTGCTCATTCTTTTTCTTTTTCTTGTCATACCAATTCTTCTTCTTTTCTTGTCATACTGCCATCCCATTCTTCTTCTCTTTCTTGTCATCTTCTCTTTCTTGTCATACCATTCTTTCTCTTTCTTTGCTCCTTCTTCTTTTTCTTGTCATACCAATTCTTCTTCTTGTCTTGTCATATCCATCTTTCTTTCTTGCCACAAAAATTCTTCTTTTTCTTGTCTTACGCTGCCTCTAACTTGGTCTGTTTTGCGCATCCTCATCCTTTCACTTTAGCATTCTTAGTCCTCCTTGCACATTTTCTTTCCATCACATCCTTTCCTTTTGTTTAAATACTTGACATTGTCATATTTTTCGGGGCGTGGATCTGCTTTGACAAATTTTGAGTCAAGCCCAAGTCTGGTACGATCGTTCGGTTTAAGATGCGTCAGATTCCGAGTCCAGAGCAGGATGACGTCACCAGCGCACCTTGCTTTCCGTTTAGCAACTCTTGTATTTTTTTTTTTAGCTTTTATTTAGCTAGATGTATACAGATTTGCTTTCTTGGTTTATCGCTTACCTCGTCCATTATTTCCATGTATATTTGGGTATGAGGGGACTTTCATAAGGAGAATGACAGTAAAGCTGATATTCTACATGTGATTCACTGATACTACTATACAGTGTACTCTACATTCTTTTGAGGTACATCGTGGTTAAAGCGTTCAGTCATTATCCAGTGCATAAACAATAGGTCAATGATGTAGAAAAAAAGAAAATAAAAAAAAAACAAAAGAGAAGAAAGAAAGAATATATCTATATATCTATATCTATCTATCTATCTATCTATCTATCTATATGTATATTCCAGATGATTCGGCGCAGAATACTCCCGTAGGCAACGAAAGCTCTTGGTGTGATACTCAGATGAGAATTTTCCCGTTTATAATTTACGTTTTCATTGACTTGCCTTCGAGACAGCTGCTGGAAATTAATTCAAACACTCTACCACATTAACTGAGAATGAATTAAAAAAATTAATGTATGAATTCCGCCATATACAATCTAGATTTAGGTTTGGGACGGGGCGATAGTAATTCCAGTTCCAGTATAAAACAAATTCCATATATATCTTTTCTAAGTAAGAGGTACGTGATGCAGACATTCAGATGGGCCAAGAACATATTTATTATTTTTCAAAAATAACAGGACTGATATTGAGTGGCTGTTCTTGAGTTCAGTCGACTGCATAACAGATAATTGTCGCCAAAGGATCCTGTTGAATGAACATAAGATATTTCGTAAATATTCTACTTACCGTTGATAATAACAATAGAGTTTAGAGTTATTTAGAGTTATTTAATTTTCTCGTGGACTGGATGTAAAGCTTTTGTTTGGAGAGATATATTATATAGCTTTAAGATGAATGGACTGATTTTGTTGTTGTTCAGTTGTATTGGCACTATGGATTCAGTTATTACTTTCTCTTTTACGTTCTTCCCTTCTTCTTCTTCCTCTCTCTCGATTCTATTTGCTCTCTCCGTCAGTCTATCCTCATTGCTCTTTATCACACTTTTTTTTTCACTTCCTTTTTCTTCCACGAGCTCTATCCATTTCTCTTTTCTACCCAGTACACCAATCTATCT